TGGTCACATTGTCCTTGGAGACAGATCCCTGCAACTGATTGCAGACTGAAAATTGAAGGTAGCACACATGAAATACTTCCACTGATTATTCATGACCTTGAATGCTGAGCTGCTGTTTAACTTTTTAGACTATTTAACTTTTTAGGATAGTTTTAAAGGAATAATCTGCAATTCTTGTCTTTCTGCTGAGAGTTAAAGTGCAGTGAAAAGTATTAGCCCCCTTCCTGATTTCTTACTTTATTATTTTTTTGCCCATTTGTCACCCTTATGTGTTTTAGCTCATCAAACTAATTTTAAAATTACACAAAGATAACCCAGGTAAATAAAAAATCCTGTTTTTAAATGATGATTTCATATTTCAAGGGGAATAAAGCTATCCAAGCACGCCTTGCAATTGTCCCCCTTGTTAAATAATGAATTAACTGTGATTACCCACATTTATGTTTTAAAAGCTGAGTTCAGAATGATATCATCATTTAAAAACTGCATTTTGTATGTACTCAAGTTATCTTTATATTCAAGTTTGTTTCATTCGCGTGATCTGAAACGTCTATACATGATAAAAATATAAAAGTAAATATAAAATATATATATATAAAATGAAATCAGGAAAGATAAATACTTTTTTGCAGCACTGTAGAAGGAAAAATTGATGCCATATTTATATATGCATGCTAAACATAAAGCTTAAGCCAGCAGGCAGTTGAATTAGTCTAAGATGACTGAAAACAAACTCCCCGTTTTCAGTCTTAATGTACCTTCTAGCAAATACAGCTAATTCACAAGTTCTCATTAAATTTGTCTGAACCATATAAACGACTGACTGTGGGCTATTGTGCAGTAATTCAATTCAATTAAGTTTTATTTATTTAGCGCCAAATCACAACAAATGGGGCCTCAGGGTTCACTTTATATTATGAGGTAAAGATTCTCCAATAATACACAGATAAATGCGTAACAACATCAACATCGGGGATTCAAATTCAGTTATCCCAACTACATTTACAAAATCCAATATTCACCTGACATTGGTCACTTTTGTGGTGTTTAATGGAGCCTATTATTGCTCCATATTTTTATTATTGTACTCTGCCAGAGGGGTGCCACAGTTTTGTAGCACTGTCACCTCACAGCAAACAGAAAGACTAGGGGTTCGAAGCAGCTGCAACCAGCAACAGCTGGGATGGGCTCCAGCTTCCCTGCAACCCTTAATTGGATAAATGGGGAAAAAAATGGATGGATGAATGAAGTCTACTAGAGCAGATCTTCATGACTGAGAGAGCAAACTAATCCTTATTTATCTTATTTAGCTGCCCCCTCAGCTCCTAAACAAGCCTCATTAGCTCCAATCTCCTCCCTTTAAAGCAGCTATTTTTCTGATTTGCTACCATGTACAAACAAAAGGTTTGAGGAACATCATACTGTCATATTTTCATGACAGACAAGACAGAACAGTAAGTGCCCCCTTTAAAAGCCACCTCATGATTTAAGGAGACATCCATACAAAACATCCATACAGGGCAATTTGATTATCTGCACATGTGCACAGTTGTCAGCAAAAACAAAGTCTATCTGCGCTCCATATTTGTTTTATTCTACATCCTTGGCCCTGAATGTTAATTTGTATTTCTTATCCTGACCTTTGCATCACGTCCAGTCAGAAAGAAAAGAAAAGCAGCTCTTCTGTGATTTTGCTTTCATATTTTCTAGAGTTTAAATGTGGATTGTGTCAGACTATAACCTTGTGAAAACACACTATGTTTCAGTAGCACAAAATGCACGCAAATGAAGAGACAGCACCTTTAAAATATCCGTTGCAGGTGTAGCATTGATACTGACTCTAAATATAAATGTTTGAATAGTGGTTTGGTTCACTTTCAAGTAGTGCAGCACACTGATGTGAGGCCAGTTTTAACCTCCAAATTAATTGTAACTGATGTTTCTTGATGAGGTCAAAGCCAACCGTAGACCTGAGGCCGAGCGAGCAGAGCGGGACTTGCCTCCGATCGGGGCACCGAAACAAGTGGCTACTCCTACAGCACACGCACACACCAGCAGGTCCTGGTTATGGGAGCCATTCTGGGTTAAAGGTCAAGGGTGAATGCAGAGATGAATGAGAAAGCCAAGGGGAGGGAAGGGGGGGAGGGAAAGAGGGAGACAGGGAGGTCACTGTTAATACACATGCCAGACATAACGGTCACACTATTAATACAGTGAGACAAACACAGACGAGGCGTGAGGGGGCGAACCAAAACAAAGACACGGGAGAAACAGGGAGGGGATGGCGTGAGCTGGATGGCAGAGACAGAACACAGCCACGGGGTTCCCACTTTTTCATTAGTGTTAAAGTTATTTCTGCAAATTTCAGGGACTCAAAAGTGGCTTCATTTAAAATTCTATAATTAAGGGTTCAAGTACAAGGACCCTGATATGAATGCTCAACACTGACCTGTTGATATTACAGTTACAGTGTTCTGCTCTCCCAATCATCGTCTACCATGGTGCTATGATAACATTTAACAAGCAAGGTTCTCAGGGATGTTGAGATAAATGACACTAAATTTAAAATGAGATAATTGTAAATATCTAGAAATACCTGAACTGTTTTTCAGATTTTAAAAAATAATGAGAATAATAGTGAGAAAAATAGTGGGAACCCTGTAATTACAACAAAGATGTCAACAACACCATAAGTTATTACAAAAACACTGCATTCTTCATTTAAATCAGCATGTTGACTGTGGTCAGTAAAGAGATGGGGGGGGTTGTGGGTAATGTAGTCGGCTTTGGTCAGGGGCTCAGCTTACCTCGTAGACTCCAGAGAAGATGGACATGAATCGACTCAACACTGCGGCGCAGATGCTGGCAATGTGGACAAAGGGACCCTGGGGGTGATGGGAGGACATTACTGACACAGATATGAGTGACGTGTAATGTTATCTACAGAGACACAGAGTGCTGTCTGTAAAAACAGAGAGTCTAAACTGGGACATATTTTATCAGAACTGATAAATCACTGTGTAATTACTGGATGTGACACTTTCCATGCTACTGTAATAAGGAAAACGAATGTGGTTCTTTGCTGAGGACTGGAGTAATTTGCCTCAGTCCCGTGAGAAGAGGGCGAGAGGAACAACATGACAGAAGATGATTTATTACCTCCCTCCCAGTTGGAGAGTGAGACAGAAAAAGGACTGAAGATGTGGAACAAGATGCTGAATGAGTGGGGATAGACGCAGAAGCACACAAGTAGTAAGGAGGCGAAAATATGTGTTTGCTTCAGTGCTGGGTTTAATACAATGCAAAGCAATGGGCTAGAGTACTCAGATTACTCTCTAGTAACACAACCTGTTAGCTTTGCAAACAATCGCTTATTAAGCTGTTTTTTAAATATGTGTTATTATTACCATATTACCACATTTTCCTTCTCCTTTGCAGTGAGGAAAGAATAATATTTTTCTACATCCCTGTGAATCCTTGGCATGCAGAGTGGAATGTATCTAATCCTACAGTTGTGTTAGTGCTGTAGACTGATGCAGCTCCTGGGTCTGCAAAATGAAGCCAGTGCACAAGTTTCTTAAAAGTTCCCTGTTGTATAAAAGTCTGTGATAAACGGCCCGTTTTGCTCCGTAACCTCAGTAAACACCCATGGTTCCTATTAGTAGATAAATCAGGTTTATGCCTTACACACTATTATCCAGCAGAACCTATGGTCAGTGCAAATATTAAGATCAGCTTTTGCGACGACAGACAGGGTGAATGTTACATTGCTGAGGTATTTGAATTATTATCTTTGAGTGTATTTGAGCTGCCAAGGAGCTCTATGTCATATTTTTAAAAGAACATCTGTAAGCTAAAACACTGGTAGTGAAGCAAACTGAGCAGATGAATGATGCTGGTGCTAAACCTGTCACTCTGAGGGAAATGAATAAGCTTGTTCCTGTTTTATGGCGGAGGAAATGCTGCCAGTACCAACTTGCTTTAAAATGAGTCAAAGTTAACATAGTCAGAAGTAGAGCAGTAGAGGCTGATCTACTCCAAAGAGTTTCCTCAGTCGGAAACACTGTAACACAACTGATCTTGTAATGTAACACGATAGTTTTTAAAGTAATGTTGCCTAACACGGGGGTTTACCTCTTTGCCCACAGGCATCCCACTGCCCAGGCCAGCGGTTAGGCCGATGACTTTAGCTATGAAGGCTTTAAGGGTCAGATATTCTTTTAAGACTACACCTCTCAGGATGGTTTTCAGCTCAGGGATACCAGAACCTGTATTTAAAAAAAAGAGAGAGAAGTTATAATGTCAGTACTTTACAATAGACAAAATGAGAAAAAAAGAAGCAAATACAGGAAGAAATATAATGAGAGTGGATAATAGAGGCTGACAGGTGATGGAGGGCTTACCGATGGCCTGCGGGGAAACCAGGTGACAGAAGAGCGAGGCAAACATGACAAGGATCATGGGATACGTAACCCAGGCGAGGTACTGGAGCGGTACATTGCCCTTAAGCTCCCCATGCACCCATTTATAGGCTGCAAGACAGAATAACAGTAGAAACAGAAAGAAACAAGAACAGGAAACAAAAGCACATTACACAAAGGAGCAGTGCAGAGAAAAACTGAAGATTTGAAATGGCAATAATCCCCATGACAGCTCTACCTTGCAGGCTCTTGGCACTAGCATAGTCCATACTCCAGCTAACTAGAGCCATAGTCAATCCCAGAAGAACCAGGAAAATCCAATCCTCTCCCATTTTTGTCACTATGTAGCACCGCACACGAGCCAAACAATCTGGGACAGAGAGATAAAATCAAAGAGTCAGGGAGTCACTTAGTGAGATCATGGATGAAACAGATGCAGTAAATAAAGTAAATGTAGACTGATAAGTACAGATTAACTCAGTCAAATAGTCAACAAATGCATGGACTACAACATGAAAGATCACAAAGACAAAACAGTGTAATTATTTACACAGATAGAGGTGACACTCCTATAATATAAGAATCTCAATATTGGTGTGTGCAACTCAATATTCAAAACTCCCACTTGATACAAACTGCATATTTATTTTCCTTCTTAAAATCATTGGAATTGGCTGAAACAATGACGATGATGATCCTGATTTGAGGTCAGTTTAAAAAAACTCAGACAAAGCTGCAGTCACTCAAAATGTATTAAAGTCAAAATAGACATTACAGCAAAACCTAAAACAGCACCAAGAAGGTCAGAGAGGAGACTCAACCTCCCTGACACCATGTCAACATAAATACACACCAGCGGTTCAACTCCGTGCACATGTTCACAATACTGAGCATAACTCCTTCAAGTGCTTACTCTAAAGTCCCTCTTATGTCATAATCATTTGCATGTATAGCCTCCAAAAACAAAAAAGCCAAAATTCAAAATTAGAGCTACAAAATACCTTCTATACCTTAAGATTTGGGTAAATGTTTTGAGTCTTGCACCTTTAGAGATTTTCTTTTTATAACTCTGGGTAGGTTACATTTAGATACCCCTTCGAAGAAGCCCTTAAGTTCAAGTGGTATTAAGTCTAAGTGCCTCGTGTAGCCTGATTAAACTACCGTGCTGCCTCATATTTTATGAGCTCATCATGTTGCATGTAAAATCATAATGTGCAAAGTAACCAGAAATTGAAACCATTAGACAAATGCAAAGCTTCACTCTTTGAAAAGTCATGTAATAAAACAACAAAGTGTGTGGAAGTGGCAAAACAGCCAAATGTTTCCATATACATTTTCATAACCACATGCTGGTCACCTTGGCATTTGGAGTAGGGACGAGGCTTCTTGGTGGAGGAGGCATGGCTGTGATGCGACTCCAGGGTCACAGGGTGCTGATGATGATGCCGCCGGCCGTGGCCTTTGCGGCCTGTGGCTGCGGTATTGTCCCCTGCCTGTCTTCTCCATTGTCTCTCTGTCAGTAAACGGGCAGCCTCCCGTCGGGCGAAGTTTCCCAGCTGCTCCCTGTACTCTCCGTAGAGCTGTAACCAAAGGGACACACTGGCAATCACTATGAAACGAAAATCATGTGTTTCTTGGGCTGCACAGAAGAGAAACAACACGCTAGAATGGAGTGGAGGGAGAGAACGAAAAACAGGCGAAATACCTCTGACAACTGAGACTTGGAAGAAGGATAAAACTGGATCTAGTGTGAAGAGTCTTGAGATAACGAGAAAGAGATGGGGAATGTGTGGCGTGTATGTAAGGGATACACACCAACCTGAATAGCCTGACAGACAGAAATAGACAAAACGGGCATAGAGATTGGAAAATCCCCGCCCTGAGCAAAGGAAGGGTCTGGAAAAAAGCCAGAGGAAGACATTCAGAAAGAGAGGACATTCCACACGTTCCACTTCCGACTGCGTGTGCACTTTACACCTATGACTACACAGACACCTACACACATGCTGTCAAACACACACACATACATTCGGTCAGCTTGCTCCGGACTCGTTAAAACTGTAGAAGCTGTATAATACTGCAGATCCGGATGCAGCTATGGTGTGTGCAACTGAAACCTACAGATCACATGCATCCCACCACACAGCAAAGCAAGAAACTGAATCATACAGAGAGCTGGCTGCCACACATTTCTGTCTCATGTTCACACAGGAAAGCAGAGCGGCCACATCCAACCATGAGGCCCAACCAGGACGAAAGCTCGGCTAACTGCACATAATTATGTGCTGGTGAAATGAAAGAAAGGTGAGACAAAAATCCACAATCTCATCTTCTCTAAAAGTCTTTAAGTCTACAGAGTGCAAGTTCATTTTTCTCCAGTTCAAGTGCACAAAAAACAGCCTCACATAACCAGTCCACTGCAATACACTGACTCACTACAACCACATGACAACGTGACTGATATAGAAGTTTATAATTAATACATGAATACACCACATAGCAGGTGGCCAAGCAGTTACTGCTGGAGGCTTTTGAAAACCTTTGATGCCTCTAAATCGTCTAGGAGGTTATTTTAAATCTCACTAAACACCGCAAACCACAAACTGTTATTCAGAACAATGCTGCACCACTAACAGCTTAATACTCCTGTCCTTCAGCCCCGTAAAACCTGAGCTAACAGCAGGAGAAACAAAGTATTGTCAGTTATTTGTTAATATGCAAAGAGCTGGTTGAATATTACCTCCTCAAATCGGGTTGCAAGAGTTTGCATCACGCAGGAAAACTTATATTTAAAGTAAGTTACATACAAGTTTTTCTGTGTGATGTGAAGATGGAAACTGAGTTTTGCAACGGAAAACTTCTCCTGAGTTCTGCTGCAATTATTTCTTCCAAAGGTTATGTTTTTTGACAGCAACTGAAGGTACCGTCTTGTTTCTATCTGCATACACCAACTGGACACTTTATTAGACACACCTGTTCAGTGGCACAGGCCATGGGGATTTTATTTATATAATACATTTAATTCATTATATGTAAACTCAGTAGCACAAAAGATAAAAATACAAAACTCCAATTTAGGTTTACAGTGCCTCAAGGCAATGAAAACAGCAAAATAAAACATTAAAAAACACAGCTATTGAGTGTAGACCTGTGTGAACAAAAGGGTCTTGAGTCTGTTTTTTGAATGTTGGCACAGATGTAACTGATCTCAGGTCAGCAGAAAGCTTGGAACAGGACTACAGGAACCGAAAGCACTCTCAGCTAAAGAAGCAAAACAGAGAAGTGGAGCTTTGTGAACACATGAGATTACCATCTAAGATCATGCCAAAGTTGCCTGATTTTCTCACCACGAAAGGGAAAAATACAAACAGACAGTCAGTCTCTGACTTTTTGGACCAACAACAATATTTCTGTCTTGTCTCTGTTCAGTTCTAAAAAGGTTTGAGACAACCAGCAGTTGATGTCATTAATGCAGCTCCTTAGCTAATGAACAGAGGTCAGATCATCAGAGGAAACTGATAGGTACAACTGTATATCATCTGCATAAGAGTGGTAGGATATATTATGATTCGTTATGACAGTACCAACTGGGAGAATGTAAATTTTAAAGTCTGTGAAGGTTCTCAGTCATCCAGGTCATCGTAGTCAAAGGAGCTTTCAAAGAAAAGAGTCTGGACTTCTTTAAGTTGCTTGAAGTTGCTTGAAGTTGCTTGAAGACGTTTCACCTCTCATCCGAGAAGTTTCTTCAGTTCTGGCTGATTGGGATCCAAACCCAGTTTCACACCTTGGCTCAGGCGATTAGAGGATCATCAGGGGGTCCTTTTGTCCCTCTTTGGGGGGAAACTCCCACTAGGTTTAAATCTGGGACTCCCCACCATTTGACCTTAGAACTGAAGAAGCTTCTTGGATGAGAGGTGAAACGTCTTCAAGCAACTTCAAGCAACTTAAAGAAGTCCAGACGCTTAAATTTTAAAGAGTAATGGACTGAGGACAGACTCTTAAGGAAACATAAAACTCTCTATCCTTCAGGTATGATCAAGAATCTGAACTGTTAGACCATCTGAGTTATGAAGCCTTTGAATCAAAATGTGTCACTGCTGTCAGAACAAAAAAAAGGAGGCTACAGTACGGGTTCATCAGAACTGGACAACAGAGGACTGGAAACACTTTGGCGATGAGATTTCTCAATGAGAAATCCATATACAATTTCTCAATGAGATTTCGCAACAGTCAGATGATGGGGTCAGAATTTGGTCAGAATTTTCAACACCTTCAGGTGCTGGTGATGGTGTAATGGTCGGGGGGATCCTTTCTTGGCACATTTTGGCTTCTTTAACAATTGAAATGTTCTAGCCTACCTGAAGGTCTTCTAATGGCTGCTTCTAGCAAAACAAAGCACAAAGCTAAAATCATCTCAAACTGATTTCTTGAAGCTGACGTTGAGTTCACTGTAGTCCACAGTGAACTCAAAGGCCTTCACTGTCACCAGAAGTCAGTCCAATAGAGCACCTAAGGGATGTAGTGGAATTAGAGATTCACATCATGGATGTGCAGCCAATAAATCTGCAGCTAGTGTGTTGCTCTCATGTCAAGGAAGGAATGTTTCCAACACTTGAATCTGTGTCTGAAATGAATAATTAAAGCATTTCTGAAGGCAAAAAGGTGTCCAACCAGTACTAGCAAGGTGTATCTAATGGAGTGGCCAGCGAGTCTATGTATAAGCACATAGGAGGATCTTTTCCTATCACTTTTTTAAATACAGAATTTAATTTAATTTCACACAAATGTCTGTCCAAGTTGTGAACAATGGATGAACATAGTGAGGGAGATCTTTATAACAGAAAGGATGACTTTGTCGCTGAAATCTAAAGGAGGCACCTTTTTACATGAAAGTGTGAGAGAAATGCAGGACTGAAGAGGACTCAGATGGTTATGCACTAAGATAATATATTATGAAATGTTAGATTATTGTTTATAAATTTGTTCAAATTTACTGAATAAATAATTAACAAAGAAAAAAACCCTCCATGTTTGTTGTTACAGTTTTGTTTTGTTATTCTGACGGTGGAAACAACCTAGGTAAGGGGATTAAGTAAAAGAAATAAAACATATGACAAGAAAATAGAGCTGTGCTAAAAAGATATCGTACTGAAGAATTTTCTGCTGCAAGTAAAGATAAAACGGTCTCCACTCATGACACTGACATATCTTATTTTCCTTTCTTTGTCTGCAACCTTAAAAATGAGGAATGAATCCGTCAGTGAGCTGTTTGTGATTGTTTTTTGTCTGCACTACAAACGAATAAAAATGTTCTAATGTGAAAAAACATGTTTTCATTTCGGGGCAAACCAGTTTACCTTCACATTTTGCTGCTTTAAAGGCAACAAGGACTCACATACTTTTACAGTTCTTCAGTCTAGCAAAAGATCACAGAGGTCACTGCTGATTACTTTCTAATTTCACCGGCTGCAAATGTATCACACAAATAACAGTGACCTCTGTCATCTTCCGCTGTATGGAAGAACAGGGCAGGTAAACAAGCCGTATTTTCATACGTTTATTTAAAAAAACAGCAAATATTTAACAATATGGTTTTACAATACAGGCTTCTTGATTTTATATGTCAAAGTACGCAAATCAGTAAAATGATCAATCGGTAAAATGATGGAAAAGAGAGCTACGAAAAGAAATGGAGATTTAAATTCAGTGCATGCATATGATCCAAAGTGAATTTTGAAGATTAGAGAAAGACAGCAGAGGGCTGTGTAATTAAGTCATGGCAGAGAAAACAGAAAAAAAGAATCAACCTGTGATGAGCTACAGCCTTCGGTCCTCATGTCTTTACCTGGTTCTCATCACCTGTCTGTTGCATGATGCTGCAGCAGCTCTGTCTCTGTTCTGTCTCCGTGTCCTGCACTGCACGCAAATTCACCACTGCACTACACATTAGCACCAAAGCCCTAATCCATCAACATCATCAAACAGCCGCTGGCACCAGACACCATCAAAACCAGGGACAGAAACAACAGGAACCTGTGCACTGTTCACAGAGAGAGGGGAAAAATGTGACCTCTCATGTCCTGCCTCAAGGAAAAGAGAAAAATAACTGCAGCACAGTTGATGATGTCTTTCAAGCTTCTTCTTCCTAGTGTCTATCCTTGTTGCGTATGAACACGGCTGACAGATCATGACCATTGTTTAAAAGGTAATGCCCTACTCATTTATAGAAAGTGCACTCCCCTTTAACATGGTTAGACATTTTTTTTATTCTACACTTTCACTCAGTTCAAATGAGATTCAGGTTGCCTTGAAGCTGCTGATGGAGCCTCAAAATGAGCCGAGTGACCTTCAGATGTCTGATAAGATTTTTTTTTCACTACCACACCGTGAACCTCAAACGAATTACAAATCTCATGTTGTGTAAATATAATCTTTAAAAGTAAATATCTTAACATATTCCTCCTGTTTTAAAGTAATTATTTTTAATTAACTGGAATTATTACTCAGCCAAATCCCACTTAAGTATAATTTTACTGGTCTTATCACTTTCACTAAAGAGGTTGTGTTTTTGGCAACGTTT